AACGTTCCCGCTCCGATACCAGTGTGGCGGACCCACCAAGTGTGGTGCTCCGCCTGGGATAGAGATGGAGATGGAGGAAGAAGGGGGAGCGAGATGGCACAACGCAACTCCCATGCTAGACTCCAACGCACGTATTCCAAAGTGTGCGAATGTCGAATAATCCGAAAAACAGACAAGAGTTGGGGTATACCCCAGCGGACTGACGAGATAGGACTGGACTGGCTGGTACCGACAGAGGTACCGGCTTGGACTGGACTACCCCGAGTACAACACAGGTCTGTGAGAAAAGGCCAAGGGGCTTGTCTTACAGCCCAACCAGAGGTCCGCTACAGTTGCGGTAGAAGAGGTCGTAGCAACCGGGGGAGCAGGAAGGAGGTGGAATGGGGGTGGAGGGGTTGCAGGGCGGGGGAAGCGAGCCTGCATGGAAGGAAGAGTAGAGGAAGTAGGGGGTGCGCCTGAAGACGCGGCCACCTATGATGGTAGGGGTGGTTGAAGGCGTAAGAGGGCGAGGTCGGCCCAGATTTGGGCAAGCTCGGTCTCAAGACAGCGGACGTAGATCGAGCGGGGGGTAGTAGGAGAAGGAGTGGAGGAAGTAGACGCAGGAGTGGCGCGAGGCATCCCATAAGGGGGAGAGGCAGGTGGAGTTGCCGTCGTGCGAAGGGGAGGGAGAAGCGGGGCACCCGAAAGAGCTGAGACCGCGACAGAGGGTTGTGGTCCCGTGGCCGTGGTGACCGGAATCTGGAGGGGTGCGCCCGTAGAGTGAGGGAAGGCCTGGCCCGTAGCGGCCGTCGCACTAGGAGCGTGGACGGTCGCCAGGATGGGCGGGTTGGCGGCAGCGGAGGAGGAAGCTTCGTCGTGGCCACCATATCGGCGAACGGGGGACCCGCACTGGGAACCAGGGGAAGAGAGAGAATGCGGAGAGGAAGGACGACCAGCATCTTGGAGTTGTCGTAGGCCAGCGGCAAGAGTCGCCACCTGCGCCTATAAGGATGCAAGGACGGAGGTGAGGAGGGTGTGCAGATCCCCCTGGGGCTGGTGGCTCTGGTCCGCCGACACGGGTATGGAGCCCGGTGCCGAGGTCGTCGCCGTGTCGACGGCTTGTGACATGTCGTCGGCCATGGGGAGGTGACGGGTCGGACTGGAGGGGGCCAGAGGAGGTTCGTGTGAGCGGAGGGCATAGGGGGGGGTCCGCGGTAGAAAGCGACGGGCGGCGCTAGTGAGTCGAGCGCGGGTGCCCGCAAAGGGGGAAGGGTGGCTCAGGTCCAAGGTGCCCGAATGGAAAGGGGAAGTAGGGGGGTTAGAAGAACCCTAAGCCCTAGAAGAACCCTAAGAAAACCCTAACCGGGGTTTGAGTGGTTAGGGTAGGGTATCCGTGACCTAATCAAGAAAAGAGAATAGCAACCATGAAGGGGGAGGGGAAGAAAAAAATAAATAAACAATGAAATTTCGAGAGAAAAATAAAAATACAAAAATAAAGAATAAAAATAATTAAAAAAAATAAGTAAACAAAATGTGAAGGGAAAAATAATATTTATTTTGTTGAAAATTTCGGCAACATTTCCTTACCCCCCATGGGGTCAAGAATGTGCCAAGAGGAAGGAGAGGCCAAGATAAGCGCACAA